ATGCACAGTACCTATGGGAAGTAAGGACAAAAGAATTCCAAGAATTGGGAATTCACCAAATCACCTATGGCACAAGGCAATTATGGGGCCAATTTTGACAAGGTTATGGTTTCCAGACCCAAGTATTAGTTGAGATTGGTCCCCCACAGAAGACTTTGTGAGCTTCAAATGTACTTTAAAAAATCATTCTTTGGGAGTTTAATGTCTTATTTACAAATGAACTAATAAGAACTGATCTTGATAAAAGAAATTTAAAAAGGACTGAAATCGATGAAAATTTTAACAGCCCTTTCTGGCTGTGACCATCATTTGCTCAGTTTTAACCTGTGAGAGTGGATGTAAGGAAAGTTTTGGTGGTGATAGTGTGGGTTAGCTGTAGACAGACATATTTTTTTTCTTTTTTTGCATCCTTCCCTTGGTATTATATTGACAGAAATAACACTAAGTAAATGCAGGCAGCTTTCTATGATATGTAATTTTTCATCCAAGGAAAAGATAATGAAGTTGGCACCTAAAAAATGTAATAATCTTTGCATTCCTCTGATGTTAGACCTTTCCCACAAACATCTACAGAAACTATCTTAAGATTTGCCTGAAGATTTAAGGTAACAGGCTTGCACTTGCAACAAGATGCATTTTTTATTAGACATTAGGCAGACACATTGTGCTGGTGTTGGGAAGTGCTACCAAGAGAATGTATGTTGAATGCCCTTGTATGGGTATTTTAAAGACTTACATCAATTTATAAAATACTTAGGATAGATCTTTCTGGAGGCTGTTTCAATTTCACTAACTTCCAATATTCTAAGATAATATATACACTCCTTTAAGGTATATTAAAATTGCTCCTTTAAGGAGCAGGGCTGGTGATGACTGACAATGATCATATGTTTGATAGCAATGTTTTTAGGCCCTATAGACATGTTTGTGAAACTCTGATATTCTTGGAGTCATCTGTTAATATAAATGTCCATTTTTCAGAAAATTTAAGAAATGCCCATTTCTTTCAAAACAGAAACATAGGGGCCTGTCTTCAAGATAAAACTAGAACTTTTAAGCTCAACTATTTGAAGTGCAGGCTGTCTTACAGGTTTAATATTTAGTTGGGTTAATTAAATTCTATTCTTTGCCCTGAATTTAATTACCCCAACCAATGTAGTAATTTAATATCATAATAAAAAGGACTCCAATGAGAAATGGAAAAGAACCTGCCTATTTGTTCATCTGCTTCAGTGAAGATTTTTTCCTCAAGTGTCAGTTATGGATGGTGATGTTTATAGGGTATGTATGAATTTTCAATTAGTAAGAATATGGAAATGAGATAGCTAGAAGCTCACCAATGAGTAAGTGCATCAAAAAATCACTAAAAATTCATCTGTAACGTCTAGGACATAATTAACATGATTTCATGATACCTTAATCAGACAGTTTCCCTCAACACTTTCTAAGCTGAGCTTAAAGTACATTGTTTCTACCCTCTATGACTGCATGAATAAGTTCTTGTTTAGGCTTTCTATCTAAGAGGAAACCCAAAACCAAACCCACTGCCACTGAGTCAATTTTGGTGCATAGAAACCCTATATAGGGTCTCAGAGGCTAAATAAATCCTTACTGGAGTAGACAGACTCATTTTTCCCCCCTTAGAGTGGTTGGTGGGCTTGAACCGCCAACTTTGCTTAACCCACAGCATCACCAGAAATAGAGCTCCTTACTCAAGGAGCTCTGGTAGCGTAGTGGTTATGAGTCGGGCTGCTAATCTCACGCTTAGCAGTTCGAAACTACCAGCTGTTCCACGGGAGAAAGATGAGGATTTCTGCTCCCATAAAGATTTATAGCCTCGCAAACCCTATACAGGGTCACTGTGAGTCGAAAATGACTCCAGGGCATATTATCATCATCACCACTCAAGGATAAAGAAGTCAAATATTTGCCACTTCTTCTAAACCAAAATGAATACTACAAAACAAAAGGTGACCTTTCTTATTGAGCAATTACCTTCCAGTGTAGACTTCTTTTAGTATCTTTCTAGCTCTGCAATCTCAGTGCTGAAGGGTTTTGCCTCAGAATCAGACTAGGATTCTTATGCCAGTTTGAAGCTTGCTAGTTGTATGACCTTGGCAAGTTGACTTAATCTCATTGTGATTTTATAGTCTTATCATCTGTAAAATGGGGGTAACAAGATCTACTCCCCTCAAGTTGCTGAGAGGAGAAAGGGAGAGAAAGAAGAGAGCACAGCACACGGCCTGCCTGACACATAGTAGGTACCTTACACATGGTGACCCCTGTCTTCTGAGCAAGTCACAACAAATATGATTATAAATGCATAATAGAAACTAACATATCAGAATGTCATACAGAATGCCAAGTATCCTGGTTTGTTACCAACCAGGACAGTGCTCTTCAGACTTTATTAGTAATTTACCTGGGGATCTAGTTAAATACAGATTTGCATTCACCCTGAGAATCTGCATTTCTAACAAACTACCAGGTGACGCCAATACTGACCATTAGGAACCAGACTTTTCGGTAGTACAGATTTAGGGCAATGATTTTTGCATACTGAGTTGACTTTGTGAGGGCTAAGATGTAAAACAGAATTTTACTCTACTTGTTTTGTTTAATGATAACAATATTGGGAGAAATCTGAAGATGCTACAGAACAAAAAAAAGTTTCAGTGAACACATTTAAAAATCTGGGAAGCTCAAATCCATTCTACACACTTTCATTTATTGTCTGGACAGATAAAATACAAATAATTCAAACACAACAAGATAATGAAAAAAAAAAACCAAACAAACCAAAAACCCATTTACAATACTTTCCTTCAGAAATCATCTAAACTAGCAAGATTAACATGGAGTCATTCATTATAACTAAAGTATACAACTGCCTGGTCCTAGGATTTTTGTTTTCCTTTTTTTTTCCCCCAAGAATGAACACATTATAGATAATAGATTTTGGCATGCCTTTCCCACTAATGCTTAGCAAATGCATCAAACCTTTGCTAGCAAACTGCATTCATTCATAGCAGGTGATGAAAATGTTTTCCCTGAATGTTGAATGAGTGTTCTCTGAACTGAAATCTAGCGTGTGTGTGTGTGTGTGTGTGTGTGTGTGTTTTATTATTCAAAACCAAAAAGAGAAAAAAAAAAAAATTTGAAAGGAGGAATCTATGATGCAGCCTTGGTTTTACTTATGTCTACTACTACGACGACTACTACAAAGTTTGCCTCTCCAGTGTGAAAACAACAGTCCTGTCTACATGCATTTAGTGGGTTCAGCATGGGAAAAAATGCACAAAATAAGCACAAGTTATAAATAACCATAACGTTTTATTACCATTAAGACTAAACTTGTATTGAAAAGATTTTATATAACAAGACAAGAAAAGCAATAGCAAATTTAACTATCAACTAGATTATGCATAGCGAGTAACTGTTTCTATTACCCAGGGAAGAGCATGAACCCTTGTATTTTTTTGTTTTGTTTTTGTTTTAAATATATAACCGTACAAAGCACAAACATACTAAAATGATCAGTGCACTGGACGTGGGAGAACGCTCCCTCAGTCATTTTGTTCCCTTAGCTCTGTTTTGTTTCCCCAATCTGAGTTACATTAAAATAAAGACCCAATTGTTTTTATTTTTCTACTGTGCAGTAAGAAAAAAATATTCACAACAAACATGACAATATATCAAACAATAGTTCTACACAAGTTACCTTGATACCTCTTTAACTGTCACTTAAATATCATAAGAAAACATTTTAAGACATATACAAACGAAACTAGCCAAGTGTTACAACTTATAATAAATTAACCAAAAGAAAAAATAACTTTATATATATATATATTGTATATACACATACACACACAACAGAATGACACAATAAAATATGCTTCTTCCCATAGTTTAAGTAAAGAAATAAGTAGTCTAGCCAATCTAGCTATATTTGATCTCGGCCATAGGCATCATCACATCGGCGATAAATAAATAAGTGTTTCAAGCAACATAAACAGTGTTTTAAATGTACCAACACAGCCCAATTCTATCAGCATGGGCTACAAAGTGAATTTGGAAATTCCTTAATGAATTTAAAGCAAATGTATCTTTTGTTTTCCTCTCCTAAACACATTACATTTAACTATGATACTAAGATATGTAAATAATTCCATAGCACCTACTGCTCAAACTAAGGAAGTTTTAGATCAAAAGGAAAATTAATCTTTTTAACTTTTATTCTGCAGACATCCCATACTGATGACTTAAAGAAAAACTGTCTTTCAACTCATCTCCTTGCTTTTGGGTTTTGACTGTGGGGAACTGTGGTACCCTGGGTAGAACGAACACTCCTTTCCCCTAGTAATTAATTTTTTTTTAATTATTACATGCTATGAAAAGATATGAAGATCATCTGTTTATAGCCCATCCTTCAAAAAACAGTCTACGAATCCAGTTTAAAACACACATCTTGATCTCTAAAAAGTTACCAGTGCAGTATGAACGCGACAAAGTTGTCAATTTCCCCTAAATTAGCCAGTCAAAATATTTTTTTCTCAAATCCAGATTCTCTTGTAAAAATTCTTTATATTTTATAAAAATAGATTTTTCTTGAAACCCATTTTCAGCAAAGAGACCACCTCTTTGGCAACAATGTTAATGTTATTAAATTGTTAATGTCATCAGGTAACCCCCTGGCCCCCATCCCCTAACAGAAGACTTTTTAGTTCACATGATATAAAAGAAAAAAGGAAAAATAAAAAAATTTGCAAAAGTTTTTTTTTTTTTTTTTTTTTCAATTTTGCAATTTTTATTATTCCTCTTTAATTTGTTTGGGGGTTTTTACTACCAATCTGATTGGATCAACATTTTCACAAAAAAGAAAAATCTTTTTTTTTTCTTTCTTTGAATCCCATGACTTTGTAAAAATTGTTTTATTTTTTTTGTCATTTTTTTTTTGTGTTTTGTTGTTTTTTTTTGTTTTGTTTTGTTTTGTTTTTGTTTTTCTTCTTCAAATGAGTGAATGGTCATCTTAAAAAGACCCACCTTCAAGGAAGGTAGTAAAGTTAGCTGGCTGGGTAAAAATCCCTGCACATCGCTATCTATGTATATTATATTCAACAACGACAGCTATGAAAGAACATTCAATGCATCAAAGGTATTTTTTTTGTTGTTTTTGTTATTTTTTCTTTTTTTCTAAGCATTATAAAATCCGTTCCTGGTACACCTCAGGATAATCCAATGTTTTAATACTTAGGCAACACTGGCTTATAAAGTCCATGGTTGAATATAAGCCTTGAAAAGTTTGTTTTTCTCTCTCTTTTGTGTATGTGTGTGTGTGTGCACGCATGTGTTTTGTTCGTATATATTTATATATATTTTTTAATAAGTAAGATGGGAAATTCAGGACTTGTGAGCTTTGTTAGTTTTAAAGGAAACTTGCAACACTCTGTCTCCCAGGCGGTACCCGTTGAGGCTGGCGATGGCCATGGCTGCCTCGTCATAGTTGGTCATGGTGACGAAGCCGAATCCCTTGCATTTGTTGGTGTTGAAGTCACGGATGACCTTGACATTGTTCACTGCGCCGAAAGGACCAAAGAGCTGCCAGAGGACACTCTCATCAGAGTCAGGGGACAGGTTGTAGACAAAGATGCACCAGCCTGTTCCTGTATGACCAGGAATGTTCATTCCCACAAGGCTTGTCATCCCATCGATGGTGATTGGGGAGAACCTGGGGGGACAAGCAGAAGGGGGGACTGGTCCAGACATCAGTCTGACCATGGATAACACACAGATGTACAGACACAGACATGGGGCAGAACGCTCAGTGAGTGTTTACAGGAGAGTCTACAGGGTTTAACACCAAAATATAAAAACAAATGCCTGTGGCATTTCTTTTGTTGGGAAAGGCTAGGCTGGTTAAGACACTTAAGTGCCAAGAGGAAAACTTAGGTCAGTTCCTAAGTTCTGTCATAGTACATGCTCATGGGATATCCCACTCTGACCCTGCATCTCCCCAACTCCATTCCTAGCCATTCCTAGCTCTTGTGGGAAGGGGCTCTATTTATTTAGTTAGTTGTATACACATGGGAGTCTCACAGACACAATGACATTTAGAAAACATTCAATAAATATTTATCAATTGAGTGAGTTATTTTGTTTGATCTCAATGCTTGGGAAATTTTACATTTTTAATCAGATTAGAGGATGACCCTGGAAGTGCTCAAGCCTACCATCTCTGCAGTCCCTCAACTTCTGGTTGTCAAAGATCTCTTGGTAATATTGAGGTCAGAGATATGTGAGAATGAACATTCGTATCTTGTTACTTATAGGATGAGTGGTTCATGTTTTCACCTTTATTTAAAAGCATCCCTCCGCTCAAGTCCTAACACAGGAGTAAGAAACATATAACACTCTTGATGCTTTGTTATCTGGATTCATTTTTAAGTATCACAGGAAAAAGATTTCAAATGGTTTGTGCATTTATATATCTTGAGTTATATATACATTAGAAAAACAGAAAATGGTTATTTGCCATATTACAACTATTTTTATATTGGGCTTACAAATTTTCTCAGTTTTCATGTAATCTTGAAAAGGAAAACAACCCTTCAGATTCTATTCACTATCTGATAAAATAAACCCATGTGTGATTTGTGATGAATTCATGAGATGAAGCATTTAAGTTACCAGTGCCTATTGCAGAAAAATCTTTGTTAACATTTTATTTCATACTGAACTTACGTAAGGGTTTTGACCTATCCATTGACTATTAATTCGCTTTTCATTGTTGGCTTGTTTGGGCCGGGGCAGGGAAGGTGGTGGGAAAAGGAAGAAAAAAAAAATCTGGGGAAGATCATAGGGTAAAGTGCGATGTAGGAATAAGAAAATATTCTTAGAGATAAAAAAGTCCTACTTCAAGGAACTAGAGTTTACGTAATCAAATAGTTGCTGAAGGTATGCTTAATGACAAATACAATAATAATTCGGTAAGTGTTGTTTTTGCTATTATTCACCAAGTTTATCTTCCTTCTTGCTTAAAAACCAAACAGAACCAGTATGGGACATAGTCCTAGAAGGGCAACTCCATTGTCTTGTTGCTACTTGCATTGTTTCTGAAGACTGTCCACTCTACCTTCTCTCCTCCAACTGGATGAGTTGACCCCATTTACATTGTAGGTAGAGAACAGTTCAATGTTTATTATAAGGCCAAAGTCAGGGCCAGAAAAGAGGTTTCAGCTAGAGTGGTACTGACTATCTGGGGCCCTTTGGAGAAAGATTCTGGACCTAAATCTAGATTTAATAGGGAGAAGAAAATGCTGGCATGGGTGGGGGCTTGAAGTAGGGGTATGTATGCCAAAGTTGTGTTATAAGCAGCCCTCTTTTTACAGCATCAAGTCAGGGAGGGGCAGAGGTATGAGATCAAGCTAGGAAAGATGTCAAATGCCTTGGAACAGGCCAGCAGTGTGCTAGACACCAGAAATACTGTTCAGGGATTGACATTTTAGAGGCTGGGGAGAATTGATAATCTGACAGTAAAATCTGCAGTCAAATTACTTCCTTCACTGTATGCCAGTTTCTAGGGCCAGGGGTACTTACCATGCATGACCAAGTGGTGAAACAACACCCTAGTACAGGGAGTATGACGTGGACTATTAAAGACCACATCTCTTTCCCTTGACAGTAGGAAGGGGAATTAAAGTTTGCAGCTCTACTGAGCAAGATGATGAAGATGCTACATCCCTAGCAGTTCAGTGGAGCTTATCAAAAGCACATATGGGAATCTCACAGACACGGTGATATAACACACCCAACTTCCCGTGATTCAGCTTTCAGACAGTGTCTGCAACCCTTCTGTGACTATGTTCAGAAAGTGCCCCCAAACCCATAAAAGGTTTTAAATAAAAGAAATAGCAAGTTTTAAGTACACATACATATATAGCCAAAGGAGGATTTATAATGACTGTTAAAACCTGTGACAAAAGAAACCTCCGGTTGAGGTGCACACAGATAATGCTTTATTCTGAGGATCCGCCATGAAATGTGCACTGAGGTGGGGGCGGGAGTCAAAAGTCATTCACGTTTTTATTCATGGGTTGGCCAGGGCTGGTAATCCAAAATGTAATTTTTCCATTGACAATCCTAAGATTGTCAACTATGATTAGTAAAATGTTCTAATTTTGATTTGCAGGACCTTGCCCTCTTCACTGACTCTTGCCACTGTTAATACAAAACACTTGCTCTGCAAGTTTGCAATAGCAGCTAGCAAAGAGTCACAGACTTCCCCTTTAGGGGGAGCCATTCACAGGACCCGAATATCAAGGGCTTGGTAGCTGTGGCACCTGAACCATAGGAGAAGCCCACCTGCAAATAAAAGAAAAGTGAAACACACAAACACACTTTGTGTGCCCTAAAAAAATAAAATCAACTGAGGTCCGAAATTAAAATGAAAAACTTGACATGCTGGTGGAAGAAAAAAAGGAAGAATTAAAACAAAAACAAACAAAAAAGTAAAGTTAGTGAATTAAAAAAAAAAAAAAAAATCTAGCCCCAGTCTGTGCCAACATGGGCATCTGGCAATCTGTGGAGTTTTAATTACCTCTTTACGCCATAGGCCATATTAAGCAAATTGTCCAGCCTGCAAAGAGAAGGAGGGTCTCTGGGTTAATGCCTCACAGATGGCAAGATCGCTCAATGGAACTATTAATAAGAATGCTCCATTTTCAAAGAAGAAAAGCTCAACAACTTTCCCCAGTGCTTACAAGTTTATCCACTAGTAGCTTTCCCCTTTCCTGCCTCCAACTGTAAGTAATTCAAGTTTAGGTCAATGCTAGAGTATAAAGAAAGTGTCGAATGAATCTCCCTTTCTTTCAAGGTCTGAATTAATCCCACTCCCCGCACCTTTCAGAATATTTGTGTGAATTTTATTTTATATTGTGTGTGAAACTGTTTAAAAGGAGGTGGGGGGGGTCGTCTACTTAAATTGCTCACCTTGTAGCGTAATTAAACTTGTTAATAAAGGTCTCTGTTCCAGATTAACAATGCACATGAACACTATGTGCATCAGAATGGATCTTTTCTTAGCCTAGCTATATCAAATAAATCTTACTGCACACACACTTTTTGGGGGGGTAATTTTTTTTTTAAATAAGCTTAACATTTACAACCCAAATCACCTCCTGGCATACAGTCATTATGTCATAATCTTCTTCACGGTCGGTACCTTACTTGGGGACAAGTTATTCACTCCACGGGACAGTAGTAATCATAGTTTCCACCATTAGAAGGCTACTGGAGAGGCTTTTTTACATAAATACTGCATGTGGTCTCACACAAAATAAAAATTAGATGACTGGACTCCATGAAACCATTAACCATTTCAAATTCATGGGAAATAGGAGGACATATACAGGTTGGTTTTTTCTTCTCTTGTGGCTCGGTGGATATTTGATAATTAGAAAAATGGTTTCATTCAAGGGAGGCTGGGACATGGATGGAATAAAATGATTGTTTTAGAATATACTATGGGTAGGCCTCCAGTCTCCTTATCTCTTGTTCCCAACTGCCTTGCATAATAGCAGCTGCTCACAATGGCACTGGCTTCATGGAGGGAAATCTGCATTTAAGAATGTTTCAGAGGGAAATCCCCCACTCACTGCACCAGGAATGTCTAGAGGGGTTGGGTGCTGGAAGGAGGAAACACTAATAAGGCCTGGACAGAATCTTCTTCCTTGCCTTGCCAGTGTCTGATGGCTTGCCAGAGAAGGGGAACATCCAAAGAGAGTATCTCCCCACCTCTCAACATGACCTGCTGAGGAAAAAGCATACAGTAAAACCACTCCCTCTGGCAAAGGCCTGCCCCCTGTGGGCCCTTCTCTCTACCCTTTACTATGGCTGATGAAAAGTTCCTGTGTAGCCCTAAATCGAGCTGCTGACTGCAATCACTTATCTATGATGAACTCTTACTGAAACAGAATCTACTTTTTGGTGAAAACCAGTAATTTTGTTTCTACTAAGGAATCTGAAGTTTAACAAGTCATAGTGGTGAGTTGGGAGATGGCTTGAGGAGCATCTGGCCCAATCAGCTCATTTTACATGAGTGGAAACTGAGGCTCAGAGGGAATTTTGCATAGTAATTGCTGGTGGTAGAGGTGATGACCCTTGTCCTATCCTTGAGGGCTGAGGGCTTTTCTGGCCCTCGCCTGGGCCTGTATCCCTGTTGATATGCCTACCTGAATCTCTGAGCCTGGTGGTGAAGTGGGCCAGGGTAGCGCCGGTTGGGGGACTGGTACAGCTGGGAGAGCAGGGCCTGGCTGGATTTCTGGCTGGGGTTGTTGGCAAACTTCACAGTAATCGGTTCTGTAGCACCACTGGGCTTTTGGCCGTTCAGCCCTTTGATGGCTTCTTCTGCTTCGATCCTCTTATCAAAGCGGATGAATCCCACCCCTCTGGACACTCCTGGTGAAAGAGAAAGAGGTTCCATAAATATAGAATAAACCAAACGAGTAAATATCTCTAGGAAGAGATGGGATATGCCCTATGGACATTCTATGGGATGTCTGTTCACCTGTAGGGCCAGAGTCAAGCCAGGCTCCCTGAATCACTCTTATCCATCAAAACACATCTGCCTGCATTTCTGACTGGCATGTACACAGCACAGGAATTTCTCACATCTGTCCCATCCAGCTGTCCCCTCCATTGCCCTTTTTAGTCCTCATCTCTCTTGAGTTGCTGTAACTGATCACCCACTGCCAAGTTTCTAGTCCTCCAATGTGTTCGCACACCTAGCAACTTAATAAGCTATTTGAAAAGCAAACTCTGACCATATTACACCGTTTAACAAAATCTTTTATTTATATTTTTATTTTTGCACCTTTTGCATTTTGTACCTTACTATCCCCCTCTCCAAATAACAAGCAAACAACCCACAAGGCAAGTATTCCGTGGCTCCACCATGTATACAGATAAAGCCCAGAGATCTTGGTACAGCATTTACACCCCTGATGATCTGGCCCCCAATTCCCTGTTGCGCCTCATACCAGCCACCTGGGACCACCTGCCATTCCTTAAACAGGCTGTACTCTTCCTTAACTCCAGGCATTGGCATATGTTGTCCTCTCTACCTATAATGCCCTACCCCTCCTTGCCAGATAACTTCCCAAACCCTGCTTAGACACTGCATCCTTAATGAAACCTTCTCAACAGTCCCCACGAAGCTCACCCTCACAAGTCATAGCACACACTCTCCTGAGCTCACACAGTGCTCTGGACAGGACCCTGGGAGTTTACTCATCACATTGGAGTTCTATGATGGAGGGACTGATGCACTCATCCTGGTTCAGACCCTCTGGGCAGTGATTGGGGTAGAGCAGTCTCATGGAGGTTTTGTTACAAGAGTCAAAGGATGAATTACTAAATTGAGTTTAAACTTAGATCAACTTAGGAGTAGCCATGGTGGCATTGTAGGATAAGCACTGAAATTGAAATCAAGGTTGGCAGTTCAAAGCCACTAGCAACTCTATGGGAGTCAAATGAGGCTTTCTGATCCCATAAAGATTCACAGCCTTGGAAACCCTAAACAGAGTCTTATGAGTCAGAATAGGGTTTTTGCTTTTGGTTTTTGGAATACACCTTGTCATTAAAAATGCATCCTTGGGTGATTTACATTTCTTACAGAGAGGTGAGGATGGGCATTCTTTATTCTGGATAAGATATCACAGGGCCGAGACCTGGTGTCACAGTGGATTAAGCATTGGGCGCCAACCAATAATTTGTCAGTGATTTGAAGCCATCCGTTTTCTGAAGTAAAAAGATGAGGTGGTTTGCTTTCATGAAGATTTGGTCTCTGAAACCCTGTGGAGTGGTTCTACTTTGTCCTATAGGGTTACTACGAGTTGGAATTAATTCAACAGCGATGGATTTAACTCAGCACTAGATCCTGGGTTCCTAGTCCTGCACTGCTACTAACCAGCTGGTTTACTCTTCTGGACTTCTACTTCCTCACTTGTGAAAAGAGACAGTTTGAAGTTGCCTCTAATTTGAATGCTATGATTTAGAGCTATAACTATGTTGTTGTTAAGTGCCATCATGTCAGTTCTGACTCACAGTGATCCTCTATAGGGTTTCTGAGGCCTCATCTTTCTACCGGGCGGGGGGAGAGGTGGCTGGTAGGCTTAGACTGCTGAACTTGTTCACAACACTCTCATATATGTTCTTTTCACCTACCAGATAATGTTACTTGGTTGAGGTTGATTGAGGGAAAGATACTTTGAAGGTCATACAGTCCCACTCCTAATGCCTGAATCCTCTCTATAACTCTGCCCAACCGCTCAGTTGCTGCTGGAACAATTCTCATAGAGAACTTACTACTTCCAAAGGTGGCCCATTTTAAATTTGAGCAGTTGACTGATACGAAGTTTTTCTTCTCAAGTCAAAAATACATCTACTCATAACCCACATGTTGTTGTTATGTGCCGTGGAGTCGGTTCCGACCCATAGCGACCCTGTACGGGGTTTTCTGAGGCTGTAAATCTTTACGGGAGCAGAAAACCTCATCTTTCTCCCACAGAACAGCTGGTAGTTTCGAACTGCTGACCTTGTGGTTCGCAACCTGATACTTAACCACTATGCTACCAGAGCATAGTCCACTCTAATCAACCCTGCTGCTCCTCTGAGTAACAGGTCATCTTTATGGTGGCACTAAAACACAGGAAAGAAATTACAGAGAAATACTTAACCTGTGACTTGATCAACCAGGATTCGTGAGGTGATGATACGACCATATTGCGAGAAGAGCTGCTCCAGTTCCTTCTGGGTCATGGTTTTGGGAAGGCCGCTAACATAGAGATTAGCATCCCTGATTGAGGCAGAGCTTGGACGGGCATATGAGACCTAGGAAAAGGTAAGAGGAGCTGAATCCATTACAGGCAATCCGTCTCAGAATAGAGGCTGAGTCAACAACCAAGATGACAGCCCCTTGTCTAGAATTACAATTCATGGTGTCAGTTTGAATAACTCAGTAGTTCAGATTTTTAGCTATTCTTGTAATAGTAATGAGAACCAGGAGTACATCAATAGTGGAACAAAAGGAGAGTTGACGATAACTTAAAACAAATGCACAGACAAGGGTCTCTAAGTGCAGAACAAAATAGCTACTGTATGGCAGCTGTTAAATGCAGAACTACCCACGCATGGAGTTCTGAAGATTTACCTCCTGGATGTGGGTGTATAGATGATTTACTGTATCCAACACATAATAATCTTTGGATAAACGAGGGGGGGTGGGAAGAAAGAAAGAAATCCCCATGAAATTCTGTTCTGCACATTTCTCTCTTTGCCACCCTCCCCACCCCCACCTTCTCCTCCAACACATAAACATGATCAGGTACTCTGCAAGAATTTTTACGTTCCATCTCTTTTGTTGCTCTAATCTGTTCCCACTAGGTCTGCTCTCACTGAATGGCAAAGTGCTGGTGAAATGGGGCTGAATGAACATCTGCTCACAAAATTGGATATGTGACCTTGATATCGCATCTGTAAGGACCAGTCTTGCCTTCTGACTTGGAGGCAAAGCAGAGAAAACCACAATAAACAAAGTGGGGGCACAAAGTTGGGGAGAGAGAGGGCAATGGAGAGAAATGAGATACCTACTGATGGTTATAAGTTTGACTTTGCAAATTTGTCCTCCCAGATCTCTCAACTGTTTTTTTTTTTTTTTTGCCCAAAAAGCTAACACAGAAGTGTAAACAGATCTGAAATTCCATCTGCAAGAAGCCAAATCTGTAGCAGTACACATAAGCAAAGCAAACCCCAGCAGTCATTAATTTTAGACTTTCATTTACTTATTTATTTATTTTTTTAAAGAAAACAACATCAGACATTTGAAATATAATTTACAGCTCGTCTAACAAAAGCATTTTCCTGCTAAAGCTATTTCTGGGGTGGTTATGGCTCAGAATAGATGATAAAAACAGTCATTTCGGAGCACATCTGACAACGTTGGACAACGAGGGACCTATAAGCATTAGCGTTTTTCAGTTGGGAGTTTGTTTTTTAATCTGTATAGCTTGTTCACAAGATATGCTAAGACTATAGCGGTGAGCTTGTGCATGTGTGTGTGCACACCCAAAAGTATGTGTGCAAAAAGAATTTTTGTTAGTTGCTGTCCAGTTGCTGTTGACCTGATGGATAACAGAATGAAAGTGTTCCTACACCATCTGCATGAATGGCATGCTAGAGTTCATTGCTGTAGCGACTGTGTATTTTGAGTGCCTTTCAAACTAGGGGGTTCATTTTTCAGCACTATATCAGACAGTGGAGTGCTGGTGTGGTGCTGTGGGGTAATGCACTGGACTGCAAGCTGGGTTTGAAGTGCAATGTTGGCAGTTCAAATTCACCAGCTGCTCGTTGGAAACCCTATACATGGTCGCTATGAGTCAGAACTAACTCGACGACACTTAACAACAAAAATATCAGACGAAATGCTGTTGTGACCCATAGGGGTTTTATTGGCTCATTTTTTGAAGTATATCAGCAGATCTTAGTCTGGAAGCTCTGCTAAAATCTGTCTACCACGGGTGAAGCTGCTGGTATTTGAAATACTAGTAGCATAACTTCCAGTATCTATTGTTGTTGTTGTTAAGTGCTGTTGAATCAGTTCCGACTCATAGTGACCCTGGATAGGGTTTCTGAGGAGAAGCTGGTGAGTTTGAATTGCCGACCTTGTGGTTCAAACTGACCTTGCAGTTGAGTGCTTATCCTACAGCGCCATACCAGCATCATAGCAACACATAAGACGTCACAATACCGTATATGGATAGGTTATTGGTGGAAAAGGAATTACACATGTTAAATTGGACCTTGGGCATTTAGAACTTAAACTTTCAGCAGTAATGCAGCTTTTACTCCTGAGGCTTTATGGGGAGTTTGGCTCTAGCATGGGGTTTAGCAGAGAGGACTAAAGAATCATCAGACCCCTCACCCACGCCATCACTCCCTTTCAATGACAGAGATACCAGGTCCCTTTATGGGCTCTAAATCTAAAAATAGATGTTGACTCAACAGATAAAGTGATGTGAGTGACTAATATGCCTCATTGGCCTCCTCCTGCCAACAGAGTGAAGCAGCCAGGCTGCAGTATCTACTTCTAGAAGCTCACGGGCTGTCTGGGAAGCATCGGTAGAATCCCTTTGAACACATGGATGAGAGGCAGAGGGGCCTTTACATGGAGGGTCCCTGTGTGCATTTGGGGTGTCAAGGATCTGGGGACATTGAAGGATAATATTGGAACTGAGTTCAAGTAAAACCAAAGGAAGCGGGGTGGGTAATGGGGATTGAAGGACCAAGAACCCTGAGCAACCGCCTGAGGGCTTTGCTTCACAGAAGGTTCTCCTGCCCCTCCTATTACCCGAAAGTTAAGAGTCTTTGAGGTTATGACTCAGCAGAACTATTTTCCAGACAGCAGCAGGGAAAGGTAGGGAAAGCGAAATGACCTGTCCTTGGAAATAAGGGTCACCTTTGTCTAATTCATGACAATTACTGGCATATTATCACAATGAACTTTGTGCTCCCCAAAACACATTCTCTCACCTCTATGTCTTTGCTCATGAGAAAAACCCCTCCTCCTCAGGTCTCTACTCAGAGGCCATGTCTTCTAGTCAGCCTTCCCTGATCTTGTTTCTTCCTGAAAGTCGGCTCTCAATTGTGCTAACTGTACCCAAGGTACTTGCCCATTTCTGACCTAAGTCACCAGCTCTTCATCTTCGTGCTCTATCTGAACTGACCAATGGTACGTAACCCTTTCCAACTTTGAGTCATCATCTCCCAATCTAGTCTGTTGATATCCTTGAGGATGTGTGCATCTTTTTCTTCCCTACACAGAGTTCAATCCCAGCAGGATGCTCAACACCTATTAAATACATGAATGGATACCTTTAGCTTATGATGAATGCCACAGCTTATGATGAATGATGCTGCCATTCATGGCTCTTTGAGGCTCACTGAAATTTGGATTCCTCCACTTGATGTGTGTGTGGGGTTATCACTGAGAGTCAAACACCCAGAATCACTACTATGTTTCCCTAATAAACTAAGAGCTAAGAGTCAGGTTTCCCATTCCCCAGTGTCTGCGGTCACAAAGACTGAAAGAACATCATCTAGGGGTCTTCTCTCAGCAAACATTTCCTAAGTACCCACCATGATCCAGATACAGTGTTGGATACAAGAGATATAGTAAGAACAAGGCATGGTTTCTTGCCTTAAAGCACCTCCAAGTTCAATGGGGAAAAAGATAACACAAAGGAAATAGTCAAGAGACATAGGCAAATAGAAGAATGAATGAGTAAACATACAGATGATTTATCACAATGCCACAAGACAAGTGCATTTCCAGGGCTATGTATAGGTGCAACAGGAACACAGAGAAGAATGAAACTAACCAGAGATTAAAAGGACCACGAAGAAGACAGAGCTAAAGTGAGGCTGATGGTGAGGCAGGTGAAGTAATCGTATGTGGTGGGGTCAGATAATAATGGTGGCTGATAATAGCCCTTTATTAAGGGTAGTTCTAACAGTTTAACTCTTGACTACTAACCAAAAGGTTGGCTGTTTGAACCTACCCAGAAGCAACAGAGAAGAAAGGCTTGGCAATCTATCTGAAAGGTCACAGCCTACGGAGTACAGTTCTCTGTAACAAATGGCGTTTCCATGAGATGTCATCTACTAGAGGGCAACTGGCTTTATTTATTTATTTATTTATTTATTTATTTATTTTGGTTGTAAGAGCAAATGAGGTGATAAAGGTCAAGAGCCCTTAGCACTCCGGGAACAACCTTCCTGTACTCCCCAATCTTTTCCTGTGGATCTCACTGACACGTGCAAGTTAGAGTATCAGGTAACTGTGTTCTGAGACAGTGCCTGGCACACAAGAAATGCATAATGTATAGTAATGTCCTTGATCCTCATTATACCTGTATAGTTAGAGCTAGAGTACAGAGGGATGCAGGCTGGGAACCGATCCTGCTAAGAAAAGGAGCTGGCACGACAAAAATCAATGACACAACCAGAGCCATTTTTCTCAAAAGATGATTCTGATGGGGTCAGAATCTTAGCCAAGGAGAATTACTGCAACAGACTGGAGACAGACCCCTGCCACATAAGAGTGATGAATCCTAAAGATGACTGGCACCTTGATCATTCTCTATGAAGCTTGACCCTGCTTGATTTTTCTTTTCTATTTTGAATCTTAAGTCTCCTAGTTCACTGCTTAGAAAACTAACAGATGTAAGAGTGGTGGGAAAAGAGGTAGAATGAAGATATTCCTGTATTCACTTTCCAAATGTTCATCTCAGTATTTCAACTTTACATTTCCTCACACATGTATTAAGACCCTCTGCTGTTGTTGTTGTTAGGTGCCATCAAGTTGGTACTGACTCATAGCAATCCTATGAGCACAACAGAATGAAACACTGCCCGGTCCTGGGTCAACCTCACAATCATTGCTACCACCGAGCCAATCGCTGCTGTCACTGTGCCAATCCATCTCATTGGGGATCTTCCTCTATTTCTTCGACCCTCCACTTTACCAAACATGATATCCTTCTCCAGTGACTGGTCCTTCCTGATAATATGTCCGAAGTATGAGAGTTGAAGTTTGACCATCCTGGCTTCCAAGATGTACTCGGGCTGTATTTCTTCTAACACAAGACCCTCTGTTAGGCTGAAACATTTCTAAAAACATCTCTGGCTTTCAGCCTTTGCAGAGGGTCATACATTGCTGGAGTGTTAATCCCATTGAGCTATTGGCCTAAACCTGGGGCTTCTGACATTGGATGTAGCGCCCTAGAGAACTCCCTTTCCTCAAACAGTCAGGATCCTGCTTATTTCATCCATCC